ACATTTGTAAATAATGAAATTTAATAAAACAATAACAAGATTTTTTTAAATTAAAAATTTAAAACTTAAGGTGGTAGGAATTATTTTCTAATTAATTTGAAATTAAATACTTATATATAACTAGAAGACTTAAAGGCTTTTTTTTTCTCTCAAAACCACAAAAAAGTATAGAAATTTCTTCACTACAATTTTTAGGTGCCTATTGTTTTTTTGGTTAATTTCAAATAGTTTTCAAAAAATAAAAATAAAATGTTGGCTAAATAAAACTAAGAGACCTAAAATTTAAATTTGCATAGAAAACAGAAAATAATTTCCTATATCTTAAAAATAATAATAAAAACATAGTTGCAATAGTTAAAATGGCATAAATAAGTTTAAAACTTAATAAAAAGAAATAAAAAAAAGCTCGTTAAATCGAGGTTAATTTGTAAAAGAGAAAGCAAGAAATAATTAAACTTTAAATAGTTATGCAGGATTATAACTTAATTATAATGCTATAATTATAATTAATATATCATTATAATAAATTGAAAACACATTATAACAATTATATTACCATTATAATGCATTATAACAAGAAGATAATAATTTTTATAGTGTTATAATGTATTTTAAAACCTTTAATGAAATTATATAAATATTAGTATAAAGTATTAAAGTTCATTATAATGCATTAAAACGATATTATAATGATTATATATCTTTCATAATGTATTAAAACGCTATTATAATAATTATAATTCTATTATAACGTATTAAAACGCTATTATAATGATTATAATTCTGTTATAATGTATTAAAGTTCTATTAAAATGCATTATAAAACTATTATAATGAGTAAAATTATGTTTTAATGTACTAATACGGCATTATAATTATTATATATCTTTTATAATGTATTAATACGCTATTATAATGATTATAATTCTATTATAATGCATTATAACGCTATTATAATGATTATAATTCTATTATAATGTGTTACAACGTATTATAATAATTATAATTCTATTATAACGTAGTAAAACGCTATTATAATGAATATAATTCTGTTATAATGTATTAAAGTACTATTATAATGTATTGAAGTTCTATTATAATGCAATCAAAAACTATTATAATGAGTAAAATTATGTTATAATGTACTAATACGGTATTATAATGATTATATATCTTTTATAATGTATTAAAACGCTATTATAGTGATTATAATTCTATTATAATGCATTAAAACGCTATTATAATGATTATAATTCTATTATGACGTAGTAAAATGCTATTATAATGATTATAATACTGTTATAATGTATTAAAGTTCCATTATAATGCATTAAGAAACTATTGTAATGAGTAAAATAATGTTATAATGTATTATTACAGTATTATAATGATTATAATTATATTACAATGTGTTATAACTCTATTATAATAATTATAATTCTGTTATAATGTATTATAACGCTATTATAATAATTATAATCCTATTATAATGCATTAAAAAACCATTATAATGAGTAAAATTATGTTGTAATGTACTAATACGGTAGTATAATCATTATATTTCTGTTATAATGTATTAAAACGCTATTATAATGTTTACAATTCTGTTATAATGTATTAAAAAGCTATTATAATAGTTATAATTCTGTTATAATGCATTTAAACACTGTTATAATGATCACAAATCTGTTATAGTACATAAAAATACTATTATTATGATTATAATTGTGTTATAATGCCTTAGAACGCTATTATAAAGATTATAATTCTATTATAATGATTTACAACAGCATTATATTAGCTATAATGCTATTATAATATATTATAACGCTTTGATAACAATTATAATATGTTTAAAAAAAACTATTATATGATTATAATATATTGTTATAAAGTTTTTTTTAAAAAACTTGTCATTAGCAATAAATTAACTACATTTTTTGAAATGCTCATCCTATAAACATTTAGAAATTCCTTTAAATCACCCAATGACTAATATACCGGTCCCGCAGAACTGCTTTCGTTTTAAAGCCAACCTTTAAATGCAAAACTTTTCAAAACAAACAATTCTAATTTATTGAAAATGACAACAAATTCTTTGATTATGAGTTCATATTTTTCTCAAAACGAAGACAATTTCAAGTTTAAACAAGTAAAAATAGCCTATGACAGTTTTAATAATAAAAAAAAAACAATTTAAAACAACAAGATAAAATCACGCGCAAATAATTAATAAACAATTTAATATAACTTATAAAAAATAAAACAAGCTAAACTCTAATGTATTAAGAAATAAAAAATTAAACATTAATTTAAAAGAAAAAAAGGAAAGAAATTATTTATTTTAAAAGTGCCTTAGATAAAAGAAATTAAATTTAATATTAAATTAAAACAAATAAAATGAAAAAAAATAAAAACAAATTCTTAAAGAATTACTAAAAAACAACACTTTAAAAGTTATGAAATATTTAAAATAAAAACATAAACTAAAAATTAGTAA